CAGATGGTAGGAAGCACCAAGGTTTCCAAGCACCAACAGCTCAGCCAACTGTAGATGGAGAATGGCAACTTTTAAATTCCATCTGCTCCTTTTTTGTCACCTTCTGTACTCAGAAGCACATTCATCAGAAGCACAAGCATGCTGGGACAGCAACAAATTTTAGCATCTCTAGCTTGCCACTTCAACAAGACTAGATTATTTTTAATATCAATTCATTACCTTAATTTCATTTGAATTAATTACATTTTTCACAAGGCCCTGACATGGCAGTGATGCTGGAGACAGACTCTGCTGAACACCAGATGAAGCATGGTTTTTAGGGCCAAACACCTGCCTTAGAGTGAAATTCCCCAGTCCTTCACCAAGGACTGCCTTTTCCTACTTTTCCTTAACAAGAGAAAAAGGACACTAAAATAATCGAGATGGATGAGTAGCTTTCCTTTTTGGTGGGATTATGTTGAGAAAAACAGTTCACTTCCAAAATTCTCCACAGATGGTTGAAATCGGAGTTGATTTCCCCATCCTCTTTCCTGGTAGGGGTGCCAGCCTGTCTCTCAACAGAAAGAATATAAAAAATATTTTTCCTCTTTGTCACAGAAAGAGGCTGCAGGAAAGATGGGAATGCTCCTCTGTACCTACAGAATAGCAATACATCATGAGAGCTTATAGAAAACTCGCAGTACTGTATTTTTTAGTCAGGACTCAGCTTCCACAGGTCATCCCATTCCTACCTTCAAAAATACCACTTCTAAAATAAGAACACAAATGGAAATAATCAGCACCTGAAGCATTCTCATTTTCACTTATGCTTTGCTACAATACACAAGTCATTACTTCTGTCAGCTCCCCATTAGCTGCCACCTATCTGTGTGCTTGCAACTACTCCATCTCTCACAACACCAGAAAAGAAAAAATCAAGAGGTCCACCAGGAACACACAAGGCAAAAAAGAAAGATTTATACAGAAATGACCTGGAGAGAAATAGAATAAAACAGGGAAAGCTATGGAGCTGGAAGGAAAAAAAGCAGAAGATGCAGCCTGAAATACAGAAGTGAGGGGGACGGGGGGAAGGTGTGAAGAGTACGGGGAAGTGAAATGCAGAATTGGAACAGATTACAAATCTGGGCAGTGATGCCCTGCACCACCTTTCCAAAGCTGTTCCAATCTGCATTCCTGTTTCAGAGACAGGAGGACTCTGAGTATCTCCGCAGATGGCAGCCTGACCTTGGTGCACTCTCCTCTTACACAACCCAGACCCAGGAAGCCACTGGGAGAGAAACAAAACACCCATGAAGTTCCAGCCCATTCCCATAATGTGGCCCCCACAGCTCTGCTCCATTAATACTGCACAGCCCCGCGTGCAAATTCTTGTTGGGAAAAAGGACAGCACATTGTTACAGCTCACATTGTTCAAACCTCTCTTTTGCAATAGCTCTGGTACTCATTATAGAGACTATTACAGCATAAATGCGAGGAAAGGACCACTGAACCACATGGCAAGTTGCCAGGTTGTGCTGCAGCCTCCAACAGTTATGCTCAAAGAGATTTAAAGTCCAGCATAACCTTGATTTTTAATAGAGTCACATTTAATGAGCTTTAACGTCCACAGTAATAATTTCCTTATTACCTATTCAGGAGTCAGAGCCATGATCAGAAAAAAACATGCTGCACTCCTGTCCAATGAATGAATTTTATAGTGGCCAATACATTATTATCAAAACCATCAACATCATTGTCCTGAATGCCTTTTTTTGGTTGGTATAATTATAATTCTTTGAACCTTAATTGTAATAGTTGCAGATCACACAAGATTGCTGAACACAGCAAACCTGACTGGCCTGGAGCCACTCAAACCCCTCACCTCTGCCAATGATTCAGTTATATGGCAAAACAGAACAATAAAACCTTACATTTTCCTCTATCTGTCAAGAAGTAAAATGCAAACTTGTGTATAACCTTTGTTGGCTTCCAGCTTTTACCCACACATCTCCTACTCTGTCCTCTCTCTCCCCTCATTCCATTCAACTCTGACACAAGGGGCCTCCCACCTCAAAAGCTCAGAGAACTGAATTTGCCACTTGCATGTGTCACACAAATACGATGGATAAACAGACATATGAGTATTGCAGCTGAGAGAAAGGGATGCAAGAAAAACTATATTTCTTGTTATTTTTGTACAGAAACAGCTTCAAAAACCTCACTGAAACCTGTTCCCTTATTATGCACAATAAACCTTCCTCCCCATGGCAGCCAATTGCACAGTGACAGAGCAGAGGAAGCTTCTGCTACACACTCCCCATTTCACACCTTGAAAACACACTAGAGTGGAAGGCATCTGGCAGCCAGTCCTGTGGGCAGAGCTGTTGAGAACCTAAGAAAACAGCAAAAGCTGGATCTTCCATTTTTTATCCAGAGGGAGACAGTGTAAGTAAGTTTTTTGGATGCCTTAAGACTCCTCCTGAACAGCTGTTGCATCCACACTGCAGATGTTGAGTGAGCGAAGCAGCAGAGTCAACACAAAATGGAAGCATCTTGCACAGTGCACTGGATGAGTTGTCCCCTAACCCACCAGGAGCCCTGCCCTGCCCTGCCCCAGCAAGAAGGCCAAATCTGGCATTCATCTGGCTAATTTCAAGCCAGCTGGGATACACCTGCTAACCATACAGTTAGAGCCGTAACACCCTCATCATCTCTTGCACATTCTGATATACAGTCTTAATCCTATACCCAACCCTATACTCTCACAGCAGAAAGGAGGGCTTGGAGTATTTATGGCAACATTCCCTGTGCATGACAGTGATGCACACAGGTACATAAAAAACAAGAAAAAAAACCCCAAATCAATCCATACAATGTGGCTTACTACACAACATGCTCTGCTCTCAATGACACTCATTCACAGGCTCCTCCAGCCTTCACTCACAGCTCTTTTCCCCATTTTGCTTCCACGAACCACTTCCATGTGCACTTACAGGCACTCTGAGAAGGCAAAGGGCTCTCCTGTGACTGTGATAAATGACACTGAAGTATCCCCCACCCTGCTAGGCTCTGCAGCTCATGCCCTCTCCCATTTGAGTTGGTGACCAGAAGTCAGAATGATGTAGCATGGGACTGGGGCAAGGGGAGAAAAAGCGTCACATATGAGAGAAGCTGGAAACAGCCTGAAACCCAGTGAGCTGTTTGTTTTCCTGTCAGAATCAAAGGCAAAAGAGAAAACAACTTTAAAAATGCACCCCTTATGAGCTACAGACAAACCTGATAACATCCCAGCCCAGAAGCATCTCATAAACAGCTAAAAGCAACTGTGTGAAAGGCAGCAGAACAATAATTATGAATAACAAATCACAGAGGCAGATGTGAGAAATGCATTGCCCAGAAGAAATGGTCTAATTACTGTAGATGATAGCCCAGAAGTTCATTCATCAGTGGCAGGGACACAGAGTTGCCCTGAGCTCTGCATCTTCTCTGCCCCTGACCAGCATTCTCCTCCTTGGGCTCAAGGAGCACAGTTCACCATGTGGACCTGCATCATTAGATGGGCTGGGTACTCGGGCGTAACAACAGACAAGGGCATTGGGCAGCAGCATCTACTGCAATTTAAAAGTCAGTGCATTTCAAAGTCAAATTACAATGCAAGAACTATCCCCAAGAACTGCTCAAGTCTCAGGGGGGTCTTAGACTGGAAGCTCCTACAGGCAAACGCAGCCTTCCTTAAACGTTCAGGAAGTGTTTCATGCTGATGCATCTGTTAGAGCATCCACTAACAACAGTAACAAACTGTCATTGTACCTCTAACATCCAGTCAGCTCTCCACTTTATAAACCAACTCATCTACACTTCTCACCATTATCTTTTTTAAAGTTATGTAGTACCATAATCCACTATAAGATGGTGGAACAAACATGTTCTTAGCAGCAATAAAGTACTATTTTTTGAGCGATGGGAAAACAAACAAGCTACTTTCAGAGTATGTCAGTGTTGTGACAGTGAAAGATGTTTTCTTCTGTGGTTTTTCTTTCATCTAGAGCTCTGCCATTTTGTGGGTCTGAAACCTCCAGCACACACAGCTTTCAAGGAAAGCTCTAGCCTCTTAGCTTCAGCCAAGGGAGCATCCTGACCTATGGACACTGACCACATACATGCTGCTGGAATGCACGTGGACTTTCAGCTCTTTTGCTTTATTCTTCTCTAACAAAAATGTTTGGAGGACAAGGTACATGCAAGAGAGTTAGATCAGTAAGCTCTCTTGGGCTCCACAGCAGGACGCAACTCTGCCTGGTCCCCTCTTGTAGTGTTGTGGGTGATGGGTCATGTTTTACTGATATCCTTACCTTGATTTACAGAGTCTCAGAGCATGTCTAGAGGTGTTGACTTTGGGGTTACTGCACTAAAAAGCCTCGTTCAGGTATGTGAAGGAAGACAGAGTGTACAGGAGAGCCACAGATTCTGTGAAATGTATTTAGCTCAGTGAAAGATGTACTCTATTTTCATGGAGTATTGAATGTAGCTGTGATTAATGGGGCACATATACACTGATAAACAATATTAATTTGTTTTAAGCCAGGTCTGAAAAGATTTCAACCATTTGCTTCCCTGCAGCTATGAAAGTTATTTCCTGCTGTCTGTACTACCTCAGGGGCTAAACCAGCCCTGAAAGGAAGAAAATATTTCCTTACTCCATCGGCAGCATCAGCCTACAAAGGCTGTTTCATTGGTATTTCATCCATCACAAGCAAATGATATGGATTATTATTATTTATCCTTACCACCTACCCTCTGTACCAAACTGCAACACAATTGCCACCACACATTCTCACTCTCCTGCATCAACCCAGCTTTTTTCATTTTCCTTATAACCAGTCCATCAAGCACACTGTCTGCAACATCTCCATCTGTTTCTGCAGCCAATTCCTCTGGCAGTACAGATGGATAAGTGCATCTTCATGCCCAGAAGCCAGCAGCCTACCTGCGATTTCTTGTGGTGACTGAAAACTTCCAACTCCTTCCAAATTCTCAGGGATGGAGCCGCCTCCTTCAAGCACCCTCACCAGCTCCCTCAGCCTTTCACACTCCTCCTGGAGCTGCTGCTGCTCCTCCTTGCGCTGCTGCTTGGCCAAGCTCGCTGGGTTCATGCTGAAATGAAGAACTTTGGTTCTGCTGGGATCATAGTCACCCTGCAGGGCAGAAACAACAAAGCAGGTTGAGTGGCTGATCCAACCTCTGAGTCCACCCAACCTGTACCACTCTTTGTGTGAAAACAAACAACGTTACAGCAGAAAAAGGGACACTTGTGCAGTAATCATGTTTTATTCCAACAGTTGAAGTCAGCCAAACCCAGTATTCCTCCTCCTTATCATGCTTCTCTCTCTTTCAAAAATAACCAAAAAACAAAAAAATTCCCACTCAACAGAGCTTGCTCCCTGGCTGACACCTCTGCAGTTAAATTTAACTCCAGAAATGAGGTTTTATAGCTGTATTTTAGATCTCTTGATAGCAGGAGATTGTAATGAACACACAGATACACCCTTAAACTACAGCAGGACACCCAGTACTAGCCTAATTTATTACTTCAATGGTGGAGTCATTAACAAGTTGTATCAGCTCAGCCCAAGCAAGTGAACAAGGTATTTCATTTTACACTTTTTTTTCCTCAGAGGTGTGTTGTATTTCTATCAGTTTAAACAGTTAGTCAAATCCTAAGATAACAAATTAATATTCTTTCAAAGTGAGAGGAAAACACTGATGTTACATTTGTGATTTCAGAGAGACAATTCTCATACAAAGTACAGGAAGCCTCACAACCATAAAAGTAGTAAAGCATGTGCTAATGCTGGCTTCCACAGCACTCTGCCCAGCTGAAACCCTATAGCACTGCCTGCATAAAAAGGCATTTTATATGATAATATTTTTCCTTCAATTAAATCTCAGGACCTCAAGTGATTTTGTAAACATTAATTAACCCTCAAGAGCAGCATGAGGTAGGCATTATTCCAATTTTATTATTTCATTTTCATTAAAGATGTGCTAGAACTTTATGTGGGGTTTTTTTCATGCAGACGCTGAGCAACATCATCCTGAATTACTGGTCACTGCTGGTCAGAGACCCCAGAAGATCCCATTCTCAAACATATTTTATTGAAAACACTCCATCCACACACTGTAAAGCAACTCTGCCCACAGCAGGGAGTGAACTACCACAACTCGCTGCCCCAGAGCCTGGAAGCAAACGTAGCATTGGTTCAAAAACGGGTTTGATAACATGGACAACCTTGAATTCCAGTGCAACTGGCATGGAAAGCATCAATGTATCTGGAAACCAGCATCTTTACTCTTTTAAAACATCTCTGGCCCTGCCATGAAGCTGAAGTGCTTTGGTTCTTACAGCTCTTTCAGCCCATTCATTCTCTCCTTTTATAATGTGCCTCCTTGAAAAATAATGCTGTAAAACTAAACTCAGCCTGATTTTCAGGCATCACCAACACACCTGAGTACATCAGTCTGAAGCTACACTGAGACAGGTGTATCTCTTTAAAATCCACTGTGATATGAAGGCTGTGGCAGAATCCATCTCATTTATCATTTCTGGGAGATCACTAACATATTTGCTATGCTACTCACATTTTTGGGCCAGGGGCTGTAGCTTTTTCTGTTTTACACAGCAGACATCAAACCAGCACATTTCTCCCTACAGCTAAAATAATAGAGCTGCTGGTTTATATTATAGCAATGCCTAAAAGAAACCAAGTGAGACATGGAATCCAGCATGCTAGGTCCTGTACAAACCCCCCAAGAAACCACCATCTAAACCCCCAAAACCAGACAACAAAGCCTGAAGATGAGGCATATGATGGGAGCAGATGTATGGAAAGATACCACCTCCAGTGTGAGACTCCTCAGCAGCTCCATGGCAGAAATGAAAAGAAAATGTCTTCAGAGATGACACTCCTCACCATCAGACCAAACTAGCACATTACACAGTCACACCAAGCACAGCACTACTGAAGTCTTGGGAAATTTTCTGACATCCTATGGATTTTCAAATAAATGCAGGAAGATTTCCATGGAGCAGTGAAGACCAGAGCCAATTTCTGATGAAAGGGTTCAGACATGTGTGTGTAACACCAGACAGCCAAAATGGTGTCACAGCTTCAATCGTTTAGACTTTTTTCAAATTTCTGAAGGTTGAGAGAGACTTTGGTTGGCTCCAGAAAGAGTCATGGCTGGCAACTGCTAAATAAAACAGGCAGCAAAGCAGCATTAAATTCTCAATAGCATTTAAAGGAAGTGAAACTCTAGTGCCGATAAGAAACCAGGGACTGAAGAAAGAAAACCACCTCCTCCTGGAATCCCTTTAGCTCTGGAAAATGTAAATTGCTGTTTTTCTCTGTCAACTGTACTTTCCCCCACAATAAACGACTCTTACTGATCAGAATTTTGTCCTTTCAGCTCTGCAGAAGAAGCCTGGAAAATGGTGTTTTGGTGGTGGAAGAGAAGACCTAAAACAGATTTTCCCATTTAGAAAACTGTTTCTAATCTAGGGCCACTGAATGAGTAAGAACAAACATGGTACAGAAGAGACAGCCACACTCTTTGAACAGGAGAGGGGATTCCCTGAGCAAATTTTCAGGAACAGCTCCAGAAGTTGCTTCTGTGCTGAACCAACAGATGCAACAGTTAAAAAGCATCTTGCAACAAGCAGTAATGTATCCCTGGCCTCCCCAAGAAGCATGAAAAGTGTGCTTTGGGTTTGGAAACTTGGTTTGAATGTGAGAATCAACCAAATTCACGGTGCCTTTACACAGAAATACGAGACCTTTGAGGGATGCAATCAATATATGACCTGTTCACAGTCCCTTTGTTCAAAACCCACCCTGTCCTGGTTCATTCACCAGGTAACTTGGTTATCTGCTCATCATCACATCATGGCCAGTGCCTCAGAGGGTGAAGATAATACATTACTGCTAGTTTCTCAGCAGCACCCCCTCTTTAATCTGGTTTTCCCCAATACTTTAAAAATTGGGAATTATAGAGATGCTGAAGAGTAAATAACTCGAACTAGAGAGAACTGCTGGTGTTCATTGATCCTTCTTTCAAGGAATAACATTGAACCAGTAATTCAGATTTGTCAGAGAAATGTACACAGAGCTTCAATTTCAGAGGAAGCAATAAATACCTTGATTGATTGTAACCAAGTCTGGTTGACACTTACTAGAAGAGTGAATTATTCATTCCTGAAAAGCAAGATGCTAACTAGCTGATTTGGTGCTTAAGGCAGCAAAACCACTTCTGTGCTCTCAGAAGGGCACTGGACATTTTACAGAGATGATTTGTTGACTCTACATGTTAATATGTCCTACATTTGTGAAATAATGTTGTTTTGATGCATTAGCCTCAGCCTTCCAGACACATGCCCTAGGGTAGATACAAGGGAAACTCTTTCATAGACCACTGAGAAGAACAATCCCACCACTTCTGTCCCGCTCACACAGTCATTATGTGAGGCAGCCACAGCAGATGCAACACACAAATATTGTTTTAATGCAATATGTTCTAAGCACACACTGGGACATGGCAGAACTATTTATAAAGACTCTGGCTATCAATAAACTTTCTGACAAAAGACTACGGAAAAGAGAATTTGACACAGGGCCAATTTGCCATCTAGAACAGAGGCACAAGCTTAAGCCAGATGCTGCTGCCTTCCTTCCCACTTCCATCTTTCAGCTTGAAAAAAATCAAACAGCTGGAGCAGATAATTGTGCTGATGTTATGTGTCATTTTAAAAAAGTATATTTACAGACAATCAGTACATTGGCCTACATGCTGAAATTATAGCTCAAAAGCTTCCTAAGTAATCTCCCCACTAGAGAAGAATCAGTCAAGTGATGAAGCCATGAATGAAGACAGGATTGCTCTGAAAACCAGAAACTTTTCCTTCAGAAGAGGAGTTGTTTAGAGGAACAATGAAAGCTGCCAATGATGGCACCTTGAAAAGGGCTGAACTTCTTCTGGCATCTCTCCTCATGGTTGTTTGAAAACTGCACAGTCCCAATTCAGGGATGTCTTTCTCCAGGAGCTATAAAAGCTTTTTTCTCTACTTGACTCACTTTCACATGCCCACAGGTTAAGAATAAAGTACTTAAAACCATGTGAACTGCTTTACATTTGATGAAACATTCAGTGCTTAACAACTCCATTTAAGCTCTATTCATCTGCTGCAGATATTTCTAATCAGAAGTAGAACCAGTGGCAAAGGGAATAGTCTCAACTGTTGTGAACGTTTATCTAACATCACTAATAAAATTAAAGAAGTTTGTATGTCCCAAAGAGGCAACGACTGACAATGTCAGCAAGCACTGTCAAGGATTTTCAACTAACTTCACAGGCTCCTCCCTCTTAAAGCATTTGCAAGAAAAGTTGCCAAACCCATAGATGAGGCTGACATGCATTTAAGTGCCTTATTTTTCCATAGTCATGATGTCTAACAACCTCAAAAGATTGTGATTTCTGAGCAGCACAATGAATTCTGGCAGAGCATATGGACAGCGGCGTTTAATCGCTACTCGTCTGCAATGCAACAGATTGTGCTTGTCCCTGCTCAGAAAAGGCTGATGATTGGAAACTCTTCAAGGAAAGGATCAGTTCTTCTTTGTGCAACTCACACATAGTGAACATCACCCAAATGCAAGCAACACACATTGCTGCTTTCTTAGCTAAGGAATTTTTTTCTATGCTGACTTCTCAAGAGAAAACTCTCCAAGGTTTCCAGACTGGGATGCATTATTCAATATCAGGGAACTTAAATAGAAACAATCTAAGGAGCTTAGTAGATTGTATCAGCTTTAAAGGAATGATGGGTCAATAGTTAGCTTGGAAGAACATCACAAATAAAGACTGCATCTATCTGTACGAGACAGATGGAAAAGTTTCTTAAATACAGATATAAAACATAAAGCATATAAATTGGAGGGGTGGTGGAAAGGGAGCATTTGAAAAGAATCCAATTGGCCAGGGAATGCTCTTGCTTACATTTGCTACCTCTTGTAGGCGAAAAGTAGCTTAAATTATGAACACTAACACATGGCAGATAATTTGTTATATGCAGGTGGTGAATGTCTGAAACGGAACCTTTGAACTCTCGAGCAGAAGATGTGACTTGCTTACTGCAAACACA